CAGCCCCTAGACCTTAGACGGATCCGGACTTGGTTGCTCAGGGTGATGTACGAGCCGAGGAGCTTGAGCACGGGTCAGCACTAGAGGAAGCAGAGAAGGGGGTGTCGAAGGCAGAAGCGAACCACGACGGCATGTGAGTTGGCCACAAAACCCTTAACCCTAAACCTTAAACCCTAAACCCTAAACGTCTCTTCAAATCTTCCAATAGTAGGCAGACGGAAGATGCCGCTCAACAAAAACATCCCAAACCCAAAGAGTCCTTGGAGGCCCAGGGGACTTAGTAAGTAGGTTGTAAGTAGAGTTATAAGTACCCTAAATGGAGTTACCCCAATTATAACCCTACTTATAACAGACTTACTAAGTCCCCTGGGCCCCCAAGTACTCCTTGGAATCTCCTGGTCTCAGTCGGAACTCCAGCGCCTGCCGCCTCTGACGCCGGAGGCTGGGAGGATTGTTTTCAGAGCTTCTTTGGGCGACTTCTTCTCTAAATCAGGGTTCCGTTAAAGGATCGATGATGAGGGTTTCTATAGGGCTTCTGTAAAAGGTATGAAAAGGGTTCTATATGTCCCTTTCTAGGGTCCCTTAAAAGGGATCCACAAGGGTTGCTACAGGGTTTCTATAAGGGTACCATCATTAATACAGTTTAGGGATGGAGGTTTCTGTAAGGGTTTAGTAGGGGTTTAGGGTGTTAGGAGTTTAGAATTTAGGTTTCGTTCATTTGGGGGTTCCTTTCATGTAGTGCAAAGGGTACAGGGTTGGGGCTTTGGGATTTCTTGGAGGTTCATGTGTAGGTACAAGTGGCTGTTACCTACGGTTATATTCTGGCTTTTCAGGCGCTTATAGTCCCGCTTAGAACTAAACCCTAAACCCTGAACCCTAAACCCTAAACCCGAACCTAAACCCTAAACTACTCATGAATCTCCAAGTAGGAATGGGTTTCTACATGGCAATCCCGGCTCCGCAGGGTTTTGGACCTGATTTGTATTTCCTCCCCTCTTGGCAGATGGCTGGGATCGTCGGCTGCCCAATCGTGCCGGGGACCGCCTGCGGCATGGGATGTGGGTACTGTTCAGCGTTCAGGCTGTAGGGTTTAGGGTTTAGGGTTTAGGGGTTTAGGTTTTGGGGGTTTAGGGTTTATGGTTTAGGGTTTGGGGAGGGGGTTCAGGGGCTTTCAGTCTAGTCTTTCGGAGTTGAGTTTGTCCTGAGGGTTATTCAGGGTTTTGGGGGGTTTAGGACCCTCGCCGGAGGAGATGGCTCGAAGCACGTGGGTTCCATGGGGGTTCCATGGAAGCCTTTTTGAGCGTTTCGTTTCTGCTTAGGTTTCGGGTTTAGGAGGGTTTAGGGGGTGCCGAAGTCCTTGGAATTCCCAGATATAGTGTTCCCGTATGATGGTCCAATACATATATATATATATATATACATACATATGTATATATACATATATACATACATACATACGTACATACATACATACATACATACATACATACATACATACATACATATATATATAAGTATATTTATACATNNATATATATATGTATGTGCTTATGGCAAAAGAATAAACAGTCTAAATCGTTCGAACTGTTGCGGCCCCTGCAGTCTTCTATTCCCGTCGGAGAGGCAGCTCTTGGCCTCTTGCCCGGCCTGCAACGCCCCGCTTCGGGAAGCCAACGGAACCTAAAGATTTGGGCCATTTTCGGTTTTAGGGTTTAGGGTTTAGGGGCTCGTACTGGCATTCAGGGTTTTGGGTTTATGGGTTTAGGGTATTTTTGGCCCCAGAAGGTATTCTGATTCAAAAGATCTCCCGTATGTTGCTTTTTTCTACAGCACGTCGTGAGCGGACAGTAGCCTTAGCAGAGCAGGCCACCCCTACCATGAAACATGGTACCACAAACCCTGAACCCTAAACCCTGAACCCTACCACGCTTTCTAGAGTGGAGTTGCGGAGTGCAGCTCGCCGAAAGGGCAGAAACCTTCGATAGCCCCCAGGGGTCTGAATCCCAATGCCTTGGGCCTAGCAGGGCTTTGTGGGCATTTTACGGTTTACGGTTTAGGGGGCGTTGTTTGCAGGATTACCGACGTCATCGCGCAAGTTGCCAAACTGGGCACTGCTTTGCATTGAGAGTTGCGCCGTGGTTTTGATTCGACGGAGAGAGGACACCCTGTCCCTTCAAACTCTAAACCCTAAGCCCTGAACCCCAGTCTTCCCTAAACCCTAAACCCTAAACCCTAAACCCTAGTCTTGGCTCAAGATGAGTAGAGCCCCTGCCCAACAGCAAACTAAGACTTTGATGGCCGACTTCAAGCTACGGGCTTTCTGCCCTGATCCTCCGAAGAAGCTGTCGGAAGCCTTGTCCTAAACCCTAAACCCTAAACCCTAAACCCTAAACCCTAAACCCTAAACCCTAAACCCTAAAAGCCCTAAAAACCCTAAAAACCCTAAACCCTATAAGCCCTAAACTCTAAAACCCTAAACCCTAAAGCCCTAAGCCCCAAACCCTAAAACCCCAAACCCCAAACCTTAAGCCCGGGATCCGAAGCCGCAAGCCCTCTTCACTTTCACTGCTTCGGGTTTAGGGTTTGGGGTTTAAGTTTAGAGTTGAGGGCTTCGGGTTTGAGTTTAGAGTTGAGGGTTCAGGGTTTAGAGTTGAGGGTTTAGGGTTTAGAGTTGAGGGTTTAGGGTTTGGGGTTTAGGATTTAGAGTTGAGGGTTTAGGGTTTGGGGTTTAGGGTTCAGGGTTTCGGGTTTGGGTTGAAGCCCGAGGGGCAGTTGTAAGCAGGCTTGGAAGCAGGAGAGCCATAGAAAATGAGTAGCGATAGTCCAGGTTAGCTGTTCATAACTCTCGATGAGGCCAGCCATTGAAATTCAAGGTATACAGGGGTCGGAATAAACTGGTAATCATATCCCCGTATGACCCCGGTATAATTTACGAGAATAGTACCCCAAAGAACCCTCTTCATGATAATGATTAAGGCCCCTACGCTGACGCACTGCCTTCTAGAGCGGCAGTAGATCCACACCTACAGAAAGCCGAAAACCGGGACATCTCGGAACTTGCATCCCAATTCGTGACGCCTTGCTCTGTTGTGGGGAGGCCGGGGGGAGCCGACCGGAGGGGAGTACTGTAGGGGTCTTAAATAATTAGAATAGGGTTTTGGGGGTGCCTTATTAGAATTATAGTATAATATACCCCGAACCTGTTTGAATTATTACGGCCTCCATTAGGGATTGGGAGGTTGGGGCTAACGAGAGAATTGGAGCACTCCGAGTCGCCGGTTCTGGGGCCCGGACCTTACACCCTGAAGCCCAAAGCCCTGAAACCCTAAACCTTAGGTGGGTTTAAGAAAAGGGCCTTGATAATTACCTATACTATTTTGGGGGTTCCTTATTATAAATTTAGTAAAACGGGCCCCAAAACCCTTTCTAATTATCAAGGCCTCTGAACGTAGTAGCCCGTATAGAACCCTTTAAGGGAACCCTTTTAAGGAGCTCCCAATACCCCTATTCTGATTCTTAAGGCCCCTTTTGTTTAATCGTGTGTCGGCTGTCATCAGCTGAAGACCTGCCATTCTGAGGGTTCCGGGAGCCTCCCATCTTCAGGATTTTTAGGGTTTAGGGTTTAGGCTTTAGGGGGGGGGGGCAGGTACACTTTGAATATAGGGTGGGGGTATAGTATGCTATAGTTTATATGAAGGAGCGCTAAGAACTTATTTTTCGTGAGCCATCAGGAACCTGCAGTACTCGACTTTCAGGAAGTTTTCGGCACCAGGGAACTCGGCGAGGCATTCCTGGTTTTTTGGCATTCTATCGGAGACCCCATGTGTAATTAAAGAAAGGGCTCTGAAGAAGAAGAAGAAGAAGAAGTAGTCGTCGTCGTCGTCGTCGTCGTCATGTTGTGCGTCGTCGCAGGTAGTCTAGAATCGTACTCGAATATGCGCCAAGACGTCATTCTCGTTACCAAAGCCCCTCTATAGTAGGGATCAGTAGGAATCTTTGTTGTGATTGAGAACTTTCTTCCTTTCGGGCGTGCTTCCCTTCCTTTCGGCATGCCACAGGCCAGCTGCTTCCATCAAACAGGCCCCGCACACGAATTAGGGTTTAGGGTTTAGGGTTTAGGGTCGTAGATTCAATTAGCAGCATTAGTCCTTCACTGGAATGTTTCCGGGGGAGGTGATCGGAGCAGCAGTGTCTGTGAGCATTGATTTACGAAGAAGACTTCTATGAGAAGTGTGAGCATCTCACCTCACCACTGGCTTATTGAAGCTTTGGTGTCCCACCGATCGAGTGCAAGATCAGCGACACGGGACCATAGCAGAGGACGCGAAGGGCGGCATATTTTGCTCGATGCAGCCTGTGAAATTCGACATAGGAGGCCGACATTCTCAAGCACTTCTGTTCAATTCCGCGCATTTGGGGCTCAGTGTTCGTGCCCCATCTCTGGGCACAGCAGTCCATGTAGAGAGCCGTTGCTTGTGAATAGTTCCAACCATGCCGGCAGCCCAGGGGCGTCATGGGGGGCTGGAGGGGTCCGAAAGATTTCAGACTCCTAAAGTGGGATGAACCTGACACAACCCTAAAGCATAGATTCATTAGGGATCCCTGCTTCGGGGATACTGGGGTTTCTGGCCTGTTGATTGATACAGGGGCCTTAAGAATTAGAATAGGGTTTGGGGGTATAGTATACTACAATTATAATAAGGAACCCCCAAAACCCTCTTCAATCTTCGAAGCGTGGGGTTTAGATCCAAAATAGCGTGCAAGATGAAAGGGTGTGGGGTTTTGTTTACCTCAGCTAGGAACTGGTCGGTTTTAGGGTGTCGGGCCTAGGGTTGAGGGTCTAAGTTTGGGATGGAGTTGTCAGTGTTTGTGTATTTGGGGCGTTTAGGATTAGAAGGGTTCGGTGTGTACGCCTTAGGCCCCACATTGTCACTCAAGCGTCTCCCTAAACCCTAAACCCTAAACCGTGGCTCTTAAGCCTCGAGCTTGCACCCTCCCAGGTCTTTCCATGCTTGGCGCCAGGCGGACGGCTGGGGGTTGCGGGTTTGCTTTTGGCCTTTGGGACTAGCTTGGGATTTAGCGGTTTAGGGTTTAGGGTTTAGGGTTTAGCTAGGGGTTTAGGGTTTAGGGGTTTAGGGGTTTAGGGTTTAGGGGTTTAGGGGTTTGGGGGTTCGCTGGGGTAGAGACGTAACCCTAAACCCGAAATCCTTTTCAGCAGCCTCGTAGAGTGAATCCCTTAGAGCATCGGAAAACCGGTTTAGGGGTTTAGGGTTTAGGGGTTGTAGAGCCTATAGAAACCGTTGACCCCCCTAAACCCTAAACCCTAAACCCTTAAAACTTTTCAAACTGAAGGTGCGGGGAAGCTCTGGGTCAACCTAGAGAGCACACAAAACATGACGTATACCGGGGCTCAATAAGTAATTAGTAAGATTCTTCCTTTGGGTTCCTTATTCTAACTATGCTCGAATATATACCCCAGAAACCCTATTCTCCTCATGGCGGCCCAGCTAGATCCTAGGCTCAACACACGACGGCCCCTAAAACCCAAAGGCCCAGAAGCACCCTAAACCCTAAACCCCAAACCCTAAACCCGAAACCCTGAACTCTAAACCCCTAAACCCCAAATCCTAAAGCCTAAACCCTCAACCCTCAGCCCGGAAAACCAAAGCCCTGAGGCACCAACGGGCCCGACGCCCCTGAAGGCTTTGAGCCCTACAGCCCTTACCTGGACCCCATAGAACCTCCCTTTTTTTTGGGTTTAGGGTTTAGGGTTTAGGGTTTAGGGTTCAGGGTTTAGGGTTTAGGGTTTAGGGTTTAGGGTTTTCTTGTGGTTCCTGCATAAATGCCCTTAGACTGGACCCCATAGGGCTCCTTCTTATGGGTTTCTTTGCAAATGCCCTGAAACTGGACACCATAAACCTCCCCTTTTTAGGGCTCCTTCTTATGGGCTTCTTTATATATGCCCTTAGACTGGACACCATACAACCTACTTTTTTTCGGGCTCCTTCTTATGGTTTCTTTATACATGCCTTTCGAAAGGCAGGTTGCTTTGGGGTCAAGGTAAGGCCTAAGCCACGAAGCAGTGGTTCGAGCTGTGGTAGGAGATCGCCCCAAGAGCCACAGATTCCCAGCTCGACTTCTCAAGACTTGGGGGATTTAGGGTTTATGGCCCCTTCCACGGTGATTTTTGCGAGAGTGATTGTTTTCTTGCGGAGGATCCATGAAATTTTGGGGTTCAGCGCCGGCAGATTCACAACACCCGTACACAACCTACAAAATGTCCGAATGCAACCTTTATAGATTCTATAGATTCCTCGGAACCCCCTTTCAAAGGCGTCGAAACCTCGTGCAACACATCTATACACCACTTTTCTAGACAAGCTGCGAAACGAGGCATGGTTCGTGCTGTCCCTGCTGGCAGCCTGCTGGGCGACGGACGAGCCTGGATCATAGCTTTTGATTTAGTCTAGGAAGGGCTTTGTAGGATGTGGTCTTTATCGCATTTCATGCGGGTTCTGCCAGGAGTCGGTAGGATTGACTGAGGTACGGGAATTTAAGGACTCGACATTATTGGGTTAAGCTGTGAACCCTGAGCATTTTCGGCACAAGCCCTAGACCTTACAGCGTGGATTCAACACAGGCCTAAGCTCAATGCCTTCAAGCTTTAGCCCAAACCCTTCAACCCTGCCGTAAGCCTTGAAACCCTAGACTTGTCCCCCCTAAACCCTAAACCCTAAACCCTAAACCCTAAACCCTAAACCCTAAACCCTAACCCTAAACCCTAAACCCTAAAAGGCATCCAAACCGGAGAGGATCCAGGGTCTCCAAACCCTAAGACCGACAACCCTAAAGCCTGAGGCCAAAATCTGAAACTCCAAGCCCCAAGCACTCAGTCCTAAACCCTAAATCTCTCAAGCCTAAACCCTGTTTCGTGTGTAGGGTTTAGGGGTTTAGGGTTTAGGGGTTAGGGTTTGCAGCATCACATCCTCTTTTGGAGCTTAGTTGACAAGGGGGTCTGAGGTTGTTTCGGTTTTGTGCAGGTTTATACCTCAAAGACCGGGTGCCCAACTGCGATGCAAGCAAGGACCTCAAGTACTAAAGCCCTGAGACCCAGAAGCCGAATCCCTGAAGCTCCGATGACGCTTCCCCGGCGCCCCAAATGCTTCCACCGCTTACCGTGCTGATTCTAAGTCTTCTCATCATGAAACCCCAAATCCCTAAACCCCTAAACCCTAAACCCTAAACCCTAAACCCTAAACCCTAAACCCTTAACCCCTAACCCTGAACCCCCAGAGCCCCTAAACCCCAAACCCTCTCACTGATCTTGTCTCTGAGCCTCCGAGGCTGGATGGGGCAGACTCAGAGATTCGAGTCAAGCCTCACGTGGGGGGGTCCAAGAGATCGCGGGGTTGGGGTTTAGGTTTGAGGGTTTCGTGGCTTTCTTCTGGTTGGTGCTTTGGGACTTTAACTTTTTGGGTTTCTATGTGAACTACAATAAGTAGGCTAAAAGTTTTAACTTCTAGGAGGGGTTCAGAAGTCAGCCAAGGTTTAGGGTGTAGGATTTGGGGCTTAGGGTTTAAGGTTGGGGCTCAGGGCTTTCTTGGCTTTTCAGGGTGCAGGTTGAAAAGGGGCTCTTACGCCTAGAGGCTTTACATAACATAGGGCCTCAATCATTACCTACATTCTTCTGGGGGCTCCTTATTATAAATAGACTATAGAGGAACCCGAAACCCTAGTCTAATTATTAAGGCTACTATGCGGTTCAGGATGATTTGGGGGTTAGGGCCGGATGAGTTTCGAGGGCCTGGAGGGTTTGATTCTTTGCTGGTATCAGGGCGAGAAAACTTACTCTCCGAAAGTGGTGCCTTGAATCCTAGGCCCTAGACCCTACTTGGAGGTTCATGGGTAGCTGTAAAGTTGGGTGAGAAGGCCCTTTATGATAGCTACCCTACTTATGACACCCACATATAACTACCCATGGAACTCCAAGTAGAGGCCAAGCCGGTCCAGTTTAACTCCCAGAGGGCAGAAATCTCTGACGATGCACATCCCTGCAGAATTCAGCACGCTCTCACAATCCTCCTGAACCCCACAGGGTCTATGAACTCTTCATCATGAAACCCACCCGAAGAGTTATGACCTCCGTGGTTTACAAAACCCATAAAACCCCTATGGAAATCCTGAATGTAGGGTCAAGGGTTTGGCCCCAAAGCTTTGTACACACCTTGAAGACGACGTGATAGAACCTTCCTAAACCCCACACCCTAAACCCTAAACCCTACACCCTAAACCCTACACCCTAAACCCCACAGCCTAAACCCGACACCCCTACCCTCCCAAACGCTACACCCCTGCCCCTGGAAGACCCGCCAGGTCCTTGAGGTGATTGAGAAGGAGAGCAAGCAGCCTGATCCCAATGTGGAGATCAGGCCGGAAGGGGCTTAGGGTTTAGGGTTTAGGGTTCAGGGTTTAGGGTTTAGGGTTTAGGGGTCCTGGTGTCCTTGGTTTCAATCTGCATGGGCTTAGGGTTTAGGGTTAGGGTTTAGGGGCATCCTCCCGGTGCTTCAGCATCAGGCATGTCTGGATTGCTACCGTTGATGGACAAAATCCTGCATGACCTTATATACCTAAACTATGGGATTTATGGTACTACACTATATTTGGGTCATGCAGGATTTTGTCCATCAGCAGTAGTATGGACGTTTCTTGCAGGGTGCTGAGCTCGGTCTTGGTAGTAGTCTTAGGGTTTAGGGTTTAGGGTTTAGGGTTTAGGGTTTAGGGTCTAGTAATAGTGTTTGTTGAATGAAGGATCCTACCGCAATCTGTCAATTTTTACTAGACATCCACAACCACATAAGCCCCCTTGCAATGAAACCCAAGATCTAGACCCTAAAGCCAAGCCCTAAACCCTAGACTGTAAACCCCAGCCCCATGGATAACTCGGTGGGGGCTTGTTTTCACAAAGAAGCAGTCGGAGTGTGGCGGGGGTCGGGGAGCAAGAGCCACCACTCCTGCGAATCGGGGCTATAAGGCTATAAGTTTAGGGTTTAGGGTTTCGGGCACTTAAACCCTAAACCCTGAACCCTAAACCAAACTCTAAACCCAAGACGCCCCAAGCCGCAGAGCCCAGGCCAAAATACCAAGAAACCTTAAACCCTCACACCACAAATCCGAGCCCCAAGTCGAAGATGCCCTTTCCCCCCTAAAGCAGAATATAGTGGCCTTAATAATTAGAATAGGGTGTTTGGGGTATATGATGCTGTAGTTAGAATAAGGAGCCCCCCCCCACAATAGTATAGGTAATTATTTAGGCCCCTGCATTCTAAGCCGAACCCCCTAAACCCCAAGAGGCTCTAGAGCTTCAAGAGCTTCTACCCGACCCATAGACTGTTTAGGGTTTAGGGTCTAGGGTTTAGGGTCTTGGGATTAGGGTTTAGGGTTTAGGGTTTAGGGCTTAGGGTTTAGGGTTTGGGGCTTAGGGTTTGGGGTTTAGGGTTTAGGGTTTAGGGTTGACCTAGAGGTCGGAAGAAGCCACCAGCGTCCCCTATGTTACCGGGGGGTTCTAACAACCTCATCCTTATAATCCCTAGCAGCCCTAAACCCCTAAACCAACCGTAAACCCTAGACCCTAAACCCTAAACCCCTAAAGCAGCCGTAAACCCTAAACCCTAAACCCTAATCCCGCTTGGCAGCCAAATTAGATCCTAGCTTCCCAAGTCCCACAGCTCGAAGCTTATCCCGAAACCCCTTTGAACTCTCAGGCCCTCACAGTCTAGGGCCAACCCCAAACCCGACATCCTACATCCTGGACCCCAGGTTTATTAAGGTTTCAGGCTCACTTGGCGGTTCATGGGTAGGTATAGGTGGGGTCACGGGTCCGATACTAAGGGTTATAACTTTAGATTCCAGGATTTTTGGTTTAGCGTTCCGGGTGCTATAGATACCCTAGTTATGGCGCCACTTATAGCTGCCCATGAACCCCCAAGTATGGTTGGGGAACCCTAAACCCTAAACCCTAAACCCTAAACCCTAAACCCTAAACCCTAAACCCTAAACCCTAAACCCTAAACCCTAAACCCTAAACCCTATACACACCGAATCCCTCCGACGACAGGGTTTTGCAACGCCACGGGCGTGCCCCGGTGACCGGCTCAGACCATTTCTTCTTTGTTGGGGGGGCGGTTTGGGTTTTGGGTTTCGGGTTTAGGGTTTAGGGTTTAGGGTTTAGGGTTTAGGGTTTTGGGTTTAGGGTTTAGGGTTTAGGGTTTGGCGTGCTGAGGCATGCAGCAGGGATTTGTATAAGGGCTCTATAAGGCTTCTGGTAGCATTTAGGGTGCAGGTTTGGGGATCCGTGGTTTGGGATATCTCTGGATTCGGCGCTTGTTGGGAGTTTTGGCTTTCGGGCGTTTCGTCGGAAGTCAGGATATGGCTAGAGCACCATATACCCAAACCCTATCCTGGTTCTTAACGCCCCTATATTGCAATTCGATAAACCCTGTAAATCTCGATAGTTGCATACACAAACCCTACAAACCCCTAGTTTAGTTATTTTTACTCCTATCTTAAACCATGCCAGATGCCTTGTGACTGAGATACCGCCGGCTATGGGCATGAGCCCGAGCTCGGAGGAGGTGCATCGCAGATCTTTTGGGTCGTGGCTCTTTCTTGGGGGGTATAAGGGTAAGGGTTTAGGGCTGAGGGTCTACGAGGTTAGGGTTTCGATTTCAGTAAGCGGGCTTCTAGTAGGTTTCTGGTTCATTTTAGTGGCTGCTTATTAGATTGTTTGGTGGCTCTTAGCTTGGATTTCGGGGGTTCGGTGGCTCTGGAGGTGCTTGAACTGGGGTTTAGGGTGCTTGGCACAGAGTTACAGGAATCGTGGGAGCTACAGTCCTAGCTATGCTAGGGTTCCTGGCGGTTTCGGATGTTTGGCAATGGGGCAAGGTGGTCCCGGTGCTAGCGAAATTAGAGTGCATTTGCACTGCCATGGTGGAAACCCGTAAGCCTGCAACCCTAAACCCTAAACCCTAAACCCTAAACCCTAAACCCTAAACCCTAAACCCTAAGCCCTAAACTCCGAAACCCTAAATGCTTGAGGGCTCAGATCTTCAGGCTCAGATCCAGGCCATTAGGGTCAGGCTTAGCCCTAAACCCTAAACCCTAAACCCTAAACCAGGAGATAGGGTTGAGGGTTTGGTGTTTAGGGAAGCCCGGAGCAGATAATTCCTGCGGAGCTCCTCCGAGTTTCGAAGCCGGAAGCCTTCGAAACGCCATTTCCCAAACGCCCAGCGCCACGGAAACGCCGCCCAAAGCCTTGCGAAGGCCATGAACATGCGAACATGGCTTTAGAGTTTAGGGTTTAGGCTGGAGGTTTCAGGGTATAACCACATGCGCCATGAACATGTTGGTGAGTATAGCTGCACAGAGATTAGAAAACCTAAAATCTCGGCCCCTCACCTACAGCGCACCAAGCCCACTGCGGCGATAGGAGCTCATGCGCGAGTTCGATGAGGCCCCAGGGGGGAATAGCCGCAACCACCCACGTCCTCTCAACGACTGTGGGGTTTGAGATGTAAGACTTAGGGATCACACACCCTTTGGCCCTAATTCACGTAGGGATATTGATTCTAGGTGCAGGTTGAGGACATTAGAGTCCATGATCTCAGGCCCACGAACCCTAAACCCTAAGCCCTAAACCAAAACCCCGAAACCCTAAATCCTAAACCCTAAACCCTAAACCGTAAGTTCAAGAGGCGTTGACTGGAAGCCCCACGCTGACTTGGAACCCTGCCCAGCAAGCTCCGAAAGTTTTTGGAGAGTTTAGGGTCTTGTCTGTGCCCTGAACATGTGGTAAACATCTATCCTTAAAGGTTTAGGGTTTGGGTTTAGGGTTGGGTTTAATCTATAATTCAGGCCCACAAGCTCAAAACTTGGAGTTTTGAACCCGGACAGTTGCATCAACACCCCAAAATCCCGAAACCCTCAAACCCTGAACCCTAAACCCTAAACCCTATAAACCCTAAACCCTACACCCTAAACCCTAAACCCTAAACCCTATAAGCCCTAAACCCCAAACCCTCAACCTCCGAAACCTTAAGCTTAAGGCCCGCAAGATTCCCATGGCCCTCACTGTCATGCCCTACTTGGAGGCCCAGGGGACTTAGTAAGTCGGTTATAAGTAGGGTTATAATTGGGGTAACTCCATTTAGGGTACTTATAACTCTACTTATAACCTACTTACTACGTCCCCTGGGCCTCCAAGTACCTATAAAGCGCTCAATCCGACAACAACCCAGAGAGCCCAATACCCCGTACATAATGGAATCCACCTAAATTCTGGGGGCCTCAGTATTTATGATTCAAGGTAGATGTTCCTTTTTTTAAGGGGTATTTGGGCTCTCTGGGAAATCCTAAGCCCTAAACCCTAAACCCTAAACCCCTAAACCCTAAAGCCTAAACAGCCTGAGGTGACCATCGAGTGGAAAACCTCGGAGTTAATTAGCAGCCTGGCCCTTGGCTCAAGGTATCGAGCTGGGGCTCGGACTCCAAAGGCTACAGGGCTTAGGTTTTGTTTTTTTAGGGATTTGGGTTAAGTTTTTTTTTTTTAGGGTTTTGGTTTTTGTCTTTTTAGGGTTTTGGGTGGTCTTGGGTTTCGGTGCATCAAGTGTGGGGGTTTAGCGTTGAGAGTATAGGGCTTGGGATCTAAATTTCTCCCACCATAGGCTCCTACGACCCTCTTTCCTGCTCCAGGAGGCCGGGTCTGGGTTGGTTGGTTGGTCGGGGGACTTAGTAAATGGTTGTTTTTATAGACTTATAAGTATTATATCCCCAGTTAGGGTCCCTTTTCGGGTACTTATAAGTCTACTTATTAGCTACTTATCAAGTCTCCCGACCCTCCAAGTGGTTGGTTTCAAGACGCTGGTGTGTCATCTCTGGGCGCAGAGATGCGGGGAAAGAAGAGCACTGGGCGCTTGCACGGCAGCGCTTTGTGCCTCTGAGGGCCTCCTATCTCAAGTGCCGGTTTTTTCATAGTTATGCAGGATGCCCATGCCGGCACCAACACTGGCGCACACCATTGCGAAAGCCACGATATCCGCGAACTGTGGATCACTGGGCAGTACAGTAAGATCAAGATCTTTAAAGTTGCTGCAAGGCCTTCTCGTTGGAATTTGCTCAAAAAAACTAACCATATGTGAATGATTGAATGATGTACCTCTAGTTGTAGAATATGCAGTGGCGAAAGGAAGCTCTGGATGGTTTGAAGTCTACGCGTCGTAGCATGATGATGCCGCAACGAGGGAGCAGCAGGTCCCGATGCCCCACCAAGAACTTCCGTGAGAGCTGCAATGAGAAGAGAAATTGGATCCTGAGCAAGACAAAGGTACTTGAAAGGCAGCACATGTCTCGCTGTCTGTGTCTTCGACTTGGCCAGATATACCCGGAGAACGGCATCTTTGACAGCCGAATACGTTCCATGGCTACGTCTGCAGGTGACTATGGGTTTGAGGGTTTAGGGCTTATGGTTTAGCGTTTACGGGTTTTTCCTCGTGGTGCAAGAACGCATGCAGAGGATGGACGAGTGTGTTGACCTGCTTGACGAGCTCCGGCTGATCCGCCCTACTAGACTTCACCAGTATGGCATGGCATCCGATCGACTCTTGATCTGGGCTGGCTCGCAGTACGGCACGATGCCGTGAATGAGGAAGTGCCTGAGATTCAGGATTCCAGCTTGCCAAGCCGACGTTGTCAACAGGAGGCTGCGTGTAGGACCGCCAAGCGCGAACGAGTTGATGAACTGCTACCAAGCGACACAACTGCCTAAACTCAGGGGAGCTGACTAATTCAAGAACCATG